CATTTTGGCTGGAGTATGAAGATACAATTAAGTGTTGGGTTTGGGGTAGATGGATAGGGATACAGGGAAATTAGGTGGCTGTTGCTATAGTTTGAATGAGAGATGATGGTTGCTACAACTAGAGATGGAGGAGATAGATGAGGTATTTAGGGAGTGAAGCTTCCGAGGTGGATTGAATATGAAGATGACTGAAAGGAATATGTCGAAGGTGACTCCTTGGTTTCTGGCTTCTTTACAGTTAGGGAACGTTAGAAGACCAGATGTGTGGAAGAGCATGAGTTCAATTGTGGCTATGGTGAAAATGATGCACAGTTCAGAGCTAACGTGGGAATATCTAGGAGGCAGCCGGATATGTGTTTTTTTAATGCTATCCACTGAACACATTATATAATACTATGAATAAGTTAGGAATAATATCTAATCAGCTCTTTTTTGCCCTGGTTAAAGTCTTTAATTTGATTTGTTAACTAACTCTTTTGGTTACCTGTGTACTTCAGACTCAAACAGCCTGCTTGTCTAAAGGCTAATTCCAGTACCTGAAAATCTTCTTCAGAAACCTACTTTCTCAAATTAAATGACATGTTTTTGTGTCTATGCTAAACTATGACTGAAGATAGGTCCTAAATAGAAGACAAAATGGTTATTTCATTGTTTATTTCTATTTCTGCTCATACTGTCTATCTAGAAGATCAGACTTAATCTTCTATTTATGTTTAGAATGTCCTTCGCTTTGAGGTTATACATCTTTTTCCTTTATTAACTAAAAAAAATAAAAGTTGTGCATACTTTTTTGAAAACTCAAATAGCATCTGTAGATAGTGAAAGTGGTGAAACTTCTTTTTGTCATCATTTTTTTTTCTTTCTTTTAATTCACTTTTAAATTGGCCCCTGGTGACAAGTAGGCAATGGCAGGATTGGAAAGGCTTGTAGGGAGTTTCAGAGGTTCCTCCAAATCTTGGTTTTGGTTTCTGCTAGGAAATAGAGAAAATTAGGGTACATGGAATTAGGAACCAGCTAACTCTAGTGAAATTGGAATCCCATTTCTAGATCTATAAAAAGCATTTATATGCACATACATGCCAAGTGTTTTAAAATGAGATATTCCATTCACTTGTATTTTGCTTTAAAACTTGTTTTTTTCCACTTAATATATGGTGGGCATCTTCCATGTCACATGCATAAATCTGTTTGTATCCTTGTTAAGAGCTTGTTAGATTCTATAATGCAGAGGTATCATGTATTAGCCATTTCCTTATTGATGAACATATATTTTTTTCTTCCATTTTTTGCAATAACAAATACAGTGTAATATCTTCTTTTGAGTATAGATAAGGTTATTTCTGTAGGGTGGGCTCTTAGAAGCAGAATTTATGGAGAAAAGGGTGTGTTCATTTTCAATTTTTATTGATACTGTTACGTTGCTCTCCATAAAGACTGAAGCAATGCAGTGCATCCTCAACATGAAAGTGTTTATTTCCCCACTTACTCATTAACACTGAGTATTATGAATCTTATTCTTCTGTGATTTGCAGATCTGTATTCTCTGCTCATTTTCCTATTTTATAATCTGCCGTATCTTGTTGCTTTTATTGTCTATTCTACATGTTATAAACATTTCATCTCAGATTATCTCTTACCTGTTTTTTTTTTTTTGAGTTGGGATCTCACTCGGTCATCCAGGCTGGGGTTCATTTCAGCTTTGACTCACTGAGCTCAGGTGATTCTCCTGCCTCAGCCTTGAAAGTAGCTGGGACTGCAGGTGTGAGCCACCACACCTGGCTAATTATTTGATTTTTTTTTTGTAGAGATGAGGTCTTGCTCTGTTGTTTAAAAAATTGGAGTTCCACCAACAAGGGTGACTGCAAAATGAACATTTGTATACCTAACCCTGAATTGTACCCACATCTTTAAAATAAAAAAAAAATGGAGTTCATTTATCAGCATCAGAATTTCTATAAATCCCTTGGAATTAAATGCAAATGTGATGTTCCTGCTTTTTTCTTGGTTTTACTACTTTCATAAAAGGGTAGGGGACACAATTGGTTTAAAAACATAGATTTGTTATCTATCCTCTCTCGAGCTCTAGTCATAGACATATTATTATATAAGAAAAACCAATATAGTTTCACATGCAAAAAAGGACTATTTTAAAGAATCCATATTTCCTGGAAGAAATTCATTTAGAAATTCAGTCAACACTGATAATTTCAACTAATCATTAGACTCAGAATATGGTCTTATAAGGTTACTAGTTGAGGTCTGAACTTTCTTCAGTTATGTATTAATGGAGTTATTTTAGCTTAAATCAGACCTTAGAGATGATTTTCAGTTGCATAGACATTTTTTAGGCTAGAAGATAAGAAGATTTCTAAACATGTGACCTTTTTTTTTCTACCAGAGCAAACCAAAGTAGACTCACTACTAGGTCTCAGTCAGGTACTGGGTTCTCAGAGCTACTTTCTTAGTCTGTGACTATCAGATCTGAGATTTAATGGTCTCATTTAACATCTGGGCACAGGCCTGGGTCAGAACCACAAGGGTTTGGATCATCCAGAGGAATTTACTTTCAAAAGGCAGCACTGCATTCCTGAGGCCTGGCCGGTTAGCGTTAGATAATTTACCCTGACTTTTAGACAATTTACATACTTGGGGGAGTCAGATCTCCCTGAAGCTCTGTGGGCAGTCTGTAAGCTTTGCCCTATCCTATGACTGAGGTCAGGCATTTACACCTAGGAAGAGGTTCTTGGTAAATTGTTGAGAGAGCAGTTATGATTTCAACACCAAAAGAAGAGCTGGAGAATATTCTGGAAGATACCAGTCTTGATAGTCTAGAATCCTCAGTTGCAGGAAGATTCTGGTTCTGTAAATGTGAATAGGGTAAAGAATTTCAAAGAAGGAGTTCATTTTAAAGGTTTGGATGTTGAGATATCTTCTTCCTAATATTGGGAGTAAGAGGAATCTAGAAACTTAGAGTGTCAACAGAGAAGTTTCACACATGAATCTGACCCGTTCCAAAGGAAGAAAAAAAGACAATGCCTCTATTACCCAAGGAGGACCTCAAGGAGATGCCATGTAGTCAGGCCTTCTTAAGACAATTGCAGTTCATTTCAGATTTTGTTTTAAATTTCCCTTTTAATTTTTATTGAGTTACCATGGGATTAACTGACCACGTTGTGGGTCAAAGTAAAGTACCCATAGCACTGACACAATACCAATGTGTAAGATATGAACAAAGCTAAATCTTGGTTTGTCATCTATCAGAGAACACATACAGGAGTGAGAACCTTTGCGAGACAGGCTTTATGCAGTATTAAGACCTCTGTGTTCACCGGGACAGAAACCAAACACATGTGATGTCTGTCGTGAAAGATTCAGTAATGAGTCTATACTGCATGGTCATAAGAGAATCCATGTGATAGAGAAAACATACCTTTGTAGACTGTGGAAAATACTTTAATTGTAAGAGAAACCTCATTACTCCCCAAAGAATCCACTTGGGTGCTAAACCATATGAGTGCGCATGGCAGTGCTATGAAATAAAGATATAATGTGAGCCACAATTGCAAGCCACATACATAACTCAAAATTTTCTAGTAGCCACATTAAAAAGTAAAATGAAACATATGATGTTAATTTTAATAACATATCTAATGTAACCCAATATATCACAAATATTATTTCAACATGTAATCAATATAAAACAAATTATACTTTATGCCCCAAGTCTTTTCAATTCAGCATGTATTTTCCAATTAAATCTCAGTTTGGACTTGCTATATCACCAAGTGCTCAGTAGCCACACGTGGATGTTGGCTTCTGTGTGGAACAGTGCAGGTCTACTGTGTGGCCAAAACTTTTGTCAGTTGGAAAACTTTAAATGCACTAAAAATACACTGAGTAACATCTCATGTAAATGGCCAAATGAATCTAATTAAGTACAAGTCTTGTTCTAACCCCCAAAATAAAGTTAATAGTTATTTCTAACCTACTATGTTCTGAATATTATATGACGTAGTACATATTAAGTATTTAGGAGAATTCTTAGTTTACAGTAGATACTCAATAGATGTTAACAATCATGATTAAGGCTGGATTTGGCTCAGACTGTAATCTCAGCACTTTGGGAGGCTGAGGCAAGTGAATTGCCTGAGTCTGTGGGTTCAAGACCAGCCCTGGCAACTTGGCGAGACCTCGTCTCTACAATAAATCAAAAATTAGCTGAGTGTGGTAGTGCATGCCTGAGGTTCTGGCTACTTGGAAACTGAAGTGGAAGGATCATCGGAGCCCAGCAGATCAGTGCTGGGGTGGCTGTGAGTGTGCCATTGCACTCCAGCCTGGACGACGGGATGAGACTCCAACTCAAAAAAAAAAAAAAAATCATGATTAAAATAACTACTTTTCATTTAACAGTCTTTTTTATATTCTAAGATTTCTTTCTATTTTTCAAGAAGATCTTTATTTAAGAAGGACAGGCTATTTCTTTTTTATGTGTTATCCTCCTACCTCTTATAGAAAATAAGGAAAAATTTTAAAATGTGATTCCTCTTCCATTAATTCTGTTTTAATGGGAATTATTTGCTTTGATTGGTTCCCTGGCCCACTTTTTTGAGTGGATGATCCATTTCATATGTCTAGTTATTTTTCATGGTCTGCTAATATTTATAAATGAAATACTTGATCACTCAGTGTGGGTAACTGATGTGGTCACTGCTTGAAATTATGTGGGCCAATGTTTGCTTTTTCCTGATTGATTTTTCCCCAAGAGAGTGTAGGCAGGTGATTGATAGACTGGTGGTTTAACTCTTTGGCTCTATTTCTCCTCCTTTACATGTGTTGGATGCGTCTTGACTGTGCTATAGATTGAGTTGGATGCCTTTGGGTGGCTGCTGTTGACTGTGAGTGGCAAGTGCTAAATTTTTTTTAAATGGTAGGATTAAGCACCTGATTAGAATATGTACTTTATATTTTTAACTTTTTGCGTATTGTTCTGTTTCTTACAGGAATACACATGGCTTGATAAAAGCCATTATGAAATTACTACAAATGCAAGCTCTTAAGGAAGGACAAGGTGAAAAGAAGAGTATTCAGGATATATATACCATTAGGTGAGCTTTTTCTCTTTTCTTTGTATTTTTTAAAAATAAAAGTAATTGTTGCCGGGCTCGGTGGCTCAGCCTGTAATCCCGGGCCTTTGGGAGGCTGAGGTGAGTGGATTGCCTGAGCCCGCGGGTTTGAGACCTGCCTGGGCAGCAATACCTCATCTCTACAATAAATCAAAAAATCAGCCAGGCGTGGTAGTGCATGCCTGTAATTCCGGCTACTTGGAAGGCTGAGGCGAAAGGATCGCCGGAGCTCAGCAGGTCGAGGCTGCGGTGGCCAAGAGTGGCCACTGCACTCCAGTCTGGACGACAGAGTGAGACTCCAACTTAAAAAAAAAAAAAAAAAAAGTCATTGTTAACTCGTTATAAATGTGACAAGATAATTCTTAAGAGTTAGTTATTTAATTGAGTGGGATATGCATACTGTGATTGTGGAAGTCTGGACCTTTGAGGGAATTAGTGTTTTGAAGATGTAGAGGATTGGAATAGGGCTTACAATATGCTGAATATCGCCAATATCAGTTTCAGTGCTGCTAATGTGGAAGTGAAATCTTTTACCTGAAACTCAGATCATTCTTTTTGTTCTAGAATATGTAACCATCTTCCCAGCATTATGAAAATTGAAGACTTTATTGAGCAAAGCTACTTAAAGCAGGAGGGATTTAGGTTAGGAAGAAAGATAAGCTTCATTACTAGAAAATGCAATAAGAGACTGTTGTTTGCAACTGTTATTTCCTAGGCTAAGGTCAGTAGTTAGGAGTGTTGATTTGCGTTTTTTTTTTGTTATCTATAGAATATAATAAGGTAGAATTATTTTTAAAAGAAAATATACACAGCAGCAATCATAGGTTTTATGGGAGAGTTGTGGACAATAGAGAGAATCATACTCCCTTATGAAGGTGACCTTACCTATTGCCTTGAAGGTCCCAGGAAGCCATTCCTTAAGAGAGGGGTTCTTAATTAGTAGAGGACCCAGAAGATGCATGTAATCAATGTATGTTGTCCTAGGATCTGTATTCAGTGAGGCATCTAGAATGTGTCTGCTTCAAAAGAATGAGACCATAGGATCAGAAAAAGGGATGTTTATTCACAGGGGGAAGATGGCTTACATGGGGTGTGGTGATCCAACAATGAAAATAAATCAGATACTTGTGAACCTTCTTTGGCTTGAGTTTACAGCACCTATAGTTTTCAGCATTTGACACTGCAGCTGTCAGAAGTGTGAGAGTCTCTTCAAAATACAGAGTGGTGTGCTTTCCTTTTGATAATAAATACACAGTATCTCATATACCATGGTCTTTCCTGTCATTTTAGTGCTGTTTGTGATCGCTGTTATTTTTATGAATACATTATTAAGAGTTTCTTAAGCCATTTTTCTTCACAAGGTCATATTTGCATTATAATATATATATATTTTTCTTAACATGTGAATATCTTCAAACATACAGAAAAGCTGGAACAATGTGGTGCAATAAATTAGTAATTAATATTTATAAATATTTTTTAATATGGGAAGCAAAAGGAAAAGTATTTATTTGAAAATACTATGAAAACTTGGGGTGAGTGGAGTAAAGTTTTCCAAATTGATAAATAGGCTTTTCTCCTTCCTTCCTTCCTTCCTTCCTTCCTTCCTTCCTTCCTTCCCTCCTTCCTTCCCTCCTTCCTTCTCTCTCTCACTCTCTCTCTCTCTGTCTCTCTTTCTCTCTCACTCCTTTCTTTCTTTTTCTTTTTTAACATAGTGGTGGTCATTTTGATGTAATGTCTTTTAGTTTCAGGTTAATTCTTCATTCATTCCCTTGACTAAAATTGAACCTGAAAATAAATGAGCAAACTTAATGTTCTGGATAAACATCTGTGTTTCCTCCTTCTCTTTTTTTTTTTTTTTTTTTTTTGAGTTGGAATCTCACTCTGTCTCCCAGACTGGAGTGCAGTGGCCGCTCCCGGCCACCACAGCCTTGACCTGCTGGGCTCCAGCGATCCTTCCACCTCAGCCTTGCAAGTAGCTGGAATTACAGGCATGTGCTGTCATGCCCGGCTGATTTTTTGATTTATTGTAGAGATGAGGTCTCGCTGCCCAAGCGGGTCTCGAACCCGCGGCCTCAGGCAATCCACTCACCTCAGCCTCCCAAAGGCGTGGGATTACAGGCTGAGCCACCGAGCCCGGCCTGTTTCCTCCTTCTTAAGAGGAAATTCAAACTTTGGGTCAGAGTTTCAGGACAGAAAATTATTTCATGTCACTGTTATTCAGTGAGATTATTTATTTATTTATTTATATTTATTTATAGGGAATCTATTGACAGTTTAGATTTTTTAAATAGCATAATGATTCACATGATTGACCCATTTAAAATGTATGATTCCATGGCTTTTACTATATTACAGTTATACAACCATCCCCATACTCAAATTTTATTGACTGATTGATTGATTGAGTCAGAGTCTCACTGTCGCCCAGGCTGGAGTGCAGTGGTATGCATTCTCATGGCCACCCCAGCGTTGACTTGCTGGGCTCTGGCGATCCTTCAGCCTCAGTCTTCCAAGTAGCCGGAACTACAGGCGTGCCGCTACCACGCCCGGCTAGCCATAATCAATTTTAGAGCATGTTCATCACCCTCAAAGAAATTCTTTTCCCATTAGCAGTCACTCCATATCTCCCTCAACCCAGTGGGACATTTTTAACTCAATGGGTCTCATCACTGACTGCTGCTTAGAACCATGTGGGTGTGTTTAAGAACAAAGAAACGTGGGACAAATACCCCAAGCCAATTGAAACAGAATCTCTGTCGTGAGACCTAGTACTTTTTGTTTGTTTGTTTGTTTGAGTCGGAATCTCACTCTGTCACCCAGGCTGGAGGGCAGTAGCACACTCATGGTCACCCCAGCGTCGACCTGTCGGGCCCTTGCGATCTTTCCGCCTCAGCCTTCCAAGTAGCCGGAACCACAGGTGCGCGCTACCATGCCCGGCTAATTTTTTGATTTATGGTAGAGATAAGATCTCGCCAAGTTGCCCGGGCTGTTCTCGAATCCGTGTGCGCAGGCAGTTCCACCACTCGGCCTGAGACCTAGTACTTTTAAAAGCATCCCTGATTCACAGTGACTGCAAGGTGGTATGTCAGCTATCCTCTAATGTGTGTGCTAATCAACTGGGGATCTGGTTGAACTGCAGATTCTCTTTCCTTAGGTCTGGGGGAGGGCTCTAGATTCTTGTCTAACAAACTCCCAGATGTTGCTGCTGCTGTTACCCCACCACATGGTGAGTAGCAGAGCTACTGCAGTATCCATAATACCTGGGAGCTGGTTAGGAATGCGGAATCTCAGACTTCATCTCAGAGTGCTGATTTTCTGGATAACTTATAGACACCTTAAAGCTTAAAGAAGCACCAGTTTAGATGATGGTAAAAAAACTGTTCTGTCATGCAGAAGAATTAGGTTTACTCCCACTTTTTCATACTGATTGTCTTCACTGTGTGTAGTTGTTTGACCTTCAGTTATCTGTAATACTTACCTATTTTTCTGTTCATAATTCATTTTCTCCTGTTGTTGGTTCTTTTAACTGCAGTCTTGTTTTAAAAAAAGTGATAGGTGCAGGTTGTGGATAGGGAACCTAGCTTGAGGAGCTGAAAAGAATTGGATACATAAGGTTTGTTTTTAAATAGGTGGCACATTAAGAGGTCCGGAATCAATCACCTGAGTTGGCATAATCCAGTAATGTTTATGGAGAGCCCTTATGTGAATGGCTGTTTGGCACCATAAATCAGTAGAATGTAATCGAGTGTATAAGAGCCTTAAGTTCCTCCAAGGGGGATTGTGGATGGCAGAAACAGAGGAGAGGTGAGCCTGAAGAGCATATGCCCCTCAAGAGAGCTATGATTACCTGAGTCAAGCATAAAATTGTCATGCTGTTTTAGAGCCTTCTTTGCCACATGTTGGTTAGCAGTATTATCCAGCCTTGGAGAGGCAACTGATGAGCTGTGTATGAAAGCATAAAAAGGATATGAGTGGCTTAGAACTCCACTGAGAGGGGTTTTCTGATTTTGCTGCAGGATTAATTTAAAACAGAAGGGGAATGATGAGTAAATATAAGAGTTCTGGGGATGAAACTAATCTATGTTTTTACCGTATTAATGACTGCTAGCCTGTAGTTGAGGTTTGAGTATTTCTCATTTCTTTTTGTCTTAATAGCTGATTAGTTTGAATCACTGTAAAACAGAATACTTGATCGTTTTAAGGTCTGTACTGAACTGGTTAAGTTGTGCCAATATGAGAGTGGAATGAGAGGGAGAGATGTGAGAACCAACAATGTTAGACAGTGGCTTCCCTTAGCCCCTATGAATTGCCTGAAATAGCTCTAGAGAGGGTATTCTTTTTATTGTACCTAGAGTTTAGTGGTTCTCAAACTTCTCTTGCGTAAGAACCACCTGGGAAGCTTTTTAAAAGGATAGCTTCTCAATCTCACTTGTCAGGCATCTTGTTCATTCAGTAGGTTCTGTGTGAAACTCGGGAAGTAGCATGTTTATCCACTTACTCAGCAATATGGATATAGGTCATTTGTGGATCACACTTGAGAAATATTGCTTCAACCTCTGAGAGATTGATGGCACCACACGTGGGCTGCAAGGACCCCCTTAGGTTAGAGTAGAGGAGCTCTTGAGTGGCTTAATCAAGACTCCTTTCTTCTGTTTCTTATTTGGGAAGCACCAAGGCACCAAGTTAGTCTTACTGTGTCAGTCATGGATAATGAAGAGGCCAGCAGCACAAACAAAGTAATTCTAAAGAAAAGCAGTCCAAAGAGAGCAAGCCAACTGTGGATGCAGGAGAGAGTGTAAGAGATCATTGATTTGTTCAATGAAATAATTCCATGGCCCCAACACGTTAGTGTTCTTCGTGGTCAGAAGGTGGGAAGGTGGCTGTGGGTGCAGGAGGGGAGAGAGTAAAGAGAATCCTGAACATCCTCTTTCAAAATGACACTGGTTTTTAGTGTTTACTGTGCATAAAATGCTCATCCT